TATTTTTTATTCCATCAATTTATGTAGTCTAAAACTTCAAAGTACTCTATTTGTAAATTTATTATAATTATTGAAAAATGGAATTGCTGCTGAACGTGTAAAATTTGAGGGCTTTTGTCTTTTTTTTTTCTCAAGATTTCAAGTTCAAACTAATAGTGAATAATATTAGTAGTGGGTTATTTTCTTATAAAAATGTTAATTTAAGTTTTTTTATTATTATTATTAATAAGTTAATTTAAATTTTATTAATTGTTTAATTAAATTATTTTAAATATTAATATTAAAAATATTTTTTTTAATTTTTTATAAATTAATAATAAATATATAATAAATATATTTTAATTAGAGAACATGTTAAAAAATAATAATAACAACAGTGGACCTAGTAATAGGAAGTGGGCTCATTGCCCAGTCCATTAGAGAAAGAGAACCCAGATCACTGCTGCTTTCTGGCTCCTCCGCCGATTTCTCATCGATGCCGTCATCCCCAAAGCTACCGACTGGAACAGAAGAAGAAATGAAAATCAACAATCGGAAATTACTGTTGCTAAAGAGGCGGAAAACCAGATGACCCAAAACCTCAAACCCAGAATTATTTATGCAAAGAAAACGCCCAAAAAAAATTAAAAATATATATGGATTAAAATAGAAAAGGTGCGCATCAGAGTCATGGAAGTATGAGGTGCAACACCGCTCGCATTAAAAAAAAAAAAAATTTTGCGAGCTTCTCATACCGGTATTATCCTCATCATCTGCAGTCTTCCATTCCAACAATATATTTTTTACTATTAAAATTAAAATATATGTGCAAAATACGAGAGATGAGAGAAAGATTCTTATATTGGAAAATAGAATAATATTTGACTCTGCAACTGCTCCTCGGGTTTGGAATAATTGTATTTTTTTATAGGGGAAAAATGAAACCCTAGGGTTACACTTAAACCAGGAGACTTAACCATGGTTCAGAACTAGGGTTAAGTAGATTGCTGATCCCTTGTACAATTGGACGGTCGAGATTATATCATGGAAGCTAGCATTGTGATCTGCTTGTCCTTCTCCATTTCGACGCCCTTTAGAATTCTTTGGGAACACAATCAAATTACAATTAAAAATACTGTTTGTTAAACTTAAATAAAGAAGTCAATTTATACATATATATATATATACATAATTGCATTGCAAACTCAACCGCTTTTCATCCCTTTATCTTTCTCATATTTATACATGGTTATATATCAAGTAACTAATAATTAAGTACCTTATTAGAGAAAGAGTACATTCTCTAAGCTCAATTAAGAGTTTAAATCTATATATTAGAAATATTAAACTCAAATTTAAAATGGGTGAAAGAGATTTTGAAAGATGGTTGTTATCTATTGTATAATTCATAATTTAATATATAAAAAATAAGAGATTTTAAGTTTAATTGTAATTAATAAATAGATAACAGAATAGAAAGGAAGTTTTTTTTTTTTATTCTAAAACCAAAAAATAATAGATAAATAAACACTAATCCTCATCTCAAATTGAATTTTTAAGGAGGAAATTGAAGGGTATTTCAGTTGGGGCTGATGGCCTCATGGCCATTTCATAATTTTAAAAATGCTTTTAGAAAAAATGTTAATAACTAACCAACTGTTTTTTCTTTAATCCACAAATTAGTATTAAGCTCATAATCTTGACCTCATAATATAATAAACCAAATTAAACTTCTCTATAACTTTTCCATCAAAATAACCCTTCTTTGCATTTAGGAGTGTGTGTGTCTATAGACATTTTCCATTCATAC